GGCCCGGTCCGCCCGGCGAGGCTTGTGGGCCGGGCCCTGGCCAGTTAAGTATGGTTTTATTATGCTCAGTTTTATTATGTCACAGTTTTATTCTACTCAGTTTTATTAGCGAATACCGCCCTCGATTCATGTGAAAGACCGCGAAAAAGTAAAGAACAAACAAAATAATTATGATATCAAAGTATACATTTTGTCAGTGAACCACTTTTTGATATTTTTCACAGGAATCGAGATTAATTGGTTTGAAGTCGACAGTTTGGGCGGTTTGTTCTGTTAGAGTGTTAATCATGGAAATTTATGAAATTTGTCATTTTTTGACATTCTCATTGAAGTTTGTAAATGTTTCGATTCCAAACGACATACTTCTTTTGGATAGAGTTGTACGTAAAAATGTAATTTTTTGAATCAAAAAATACGCTTTTCCCGTCATAACAGGAGTCTCATAACGATTTTGAAACAGTAAAGGAGTTGATTTTGCAGGCCGGATATTTCGGATGCGAGAACTTCCGTATCACTTTCGACAACTCTTGCTGGGGACTCAGATGCATGGTCGACTCCCAATAAATCAATTATTTCCAATTTTGAAAAATTTTCTGTTTTTTTTTCTATGATCGCATTTCTTGTAACTTTTATATTTGAATCAATAAAGTGGCTTTGTCAAATATATTTTCACCTCCTAACAAGAACAAAAAAGATTTTTAAAGGAGGCCAGACACCAAAAAAAAATGGTTTTCCTGATAATTTGCATAGAAAACCCCCATGAGGGGTTGAACTCATGACAGGCAGCTCAGGGGTACAGCGCCGCTACCGGCTGAGCTACGGGGGCGCGAAGGCGCCTGACGACCGATGGTCTACATACTCGGTTGTGGCCTGCAACTTTAGGGCGAAAACAGGGGTGGGTGCGGCTTTAGAGCGTTATTTGGGCGGCTTTTAACAGGAAGCTCCTAAATCTGTGGCAGCTGCGCCGACCGCCATCACCTTGGCGAATCTTAGGCGATGTTTGGGCGAATTTTATAGGCGACGCGTGCCTCGCGTTGGGTGCATCAGAATTTCTTTTCGAAATCAAAGTTTATCCGTTTTTTTTCCTATTTTAGCGTAATTTATCTCATTTTCTTTGTCGTTTCTGTTCTAAAAATGAAAAACCTTTTAGGTAATAGTATCAAAAACTTGGTTTCAAATATAGGACGTTCAGAACTTAGTTTTGAAGTCAGGAATTCGAAATTAAAGTGAGGACATCTGAAAAAAAAGAAGATAAATGGATTTGTCAGAATGTCGAATTTCAGGTCGAAGAGACAACTTCGTAAAATACATAATTTTGTGAAAGTATTTATGATGATTTTCAGAAGGAAGTTGGCAACACGCATTCGGGCAGCAAAATTTGATACTGGAATCCAAAGTTCACAAAAAGGTAAAAACATAGGAACGTGATTCGAAAAATTATGAAACTTGTAGATCGTAATACATCTGATTGTGAGTATCAACGAAGATGAAACAGCTCACTCCCGGAACGACAATGCTCGTCGCTGCGCCGAGAGACCTCTGTGCCGTTTTGTAACCGAGAATACTACGATATGACTCGTCACTACGGTGTCAAACAGAGCAATCTGATTGCGTGGTAAGTGGGAGGAGCTTTTTGTTCAAAGATCCTAAGGGTCCCTAGATCCCTAGATCTTTGGATCTTTAAATCTCTAGATCGTTCGAAACCTAAACTCTAAATTCCAGTTTCGTCGTGATCAACGATCCACATGAGAAGGACTCTCCTTCGGCTCATCAATCCAATACGTCTTCAAACCGGACATCCTGAACGGCGCCGACGGCAAGTACTTCGTCCACATCGACCCGATCGTTCTCGCTCGTCGTGGACTCATCTGTTCCATCTATCAAGAGCTTCAGTACATGCCATCTGAGGGATCGGTGATTTTCGAAAAGCAGATAGATGGTCGATATGCGTTGAACAAGAACATGCAGTTAGTTTTCTGTGCCAACTTCTCACTAGCGTGTCTTCTGTGATGATGTTCCGACTTCCATCTGACAGATCTCATTGGTAAGCGACAATATAATCAATACAATTATCTTCGTATTTTTTTCAGAGCACCCAAGTGACAACTACTGCCTACCATGCCCACATCATGATTTAACGCAAATCTAAGAGACAATCTTTTTTCTCTTTTTTGTTATTCTGTTTATTATTTTCCTTTCTTCTGTTAGATATTCGTTTATAAAAATAAATAAAGTTTATAAAATGATTTCGACAGAAGTTTCAGTTTTTTTAGAGCCTATGGTCAGATTTAGTATGAGCTACGCGAATCTTGAGCGTAGGCTTGGCGTCTTTAGAGCGGTCGCTGGGCGGCTTCTACAGAAAACTAAAGCGACATCCGCCCTGCCACAGCTTAGAATCCGCTTAAATCCAGTCTAAAAGTTGCGGGCAACAGCCGAGTAAGCACGGCGCGATTTTGTCCCCCGAACTGTCCCCCGAAATTTTTGCTGTCTCGCCTCCTTTAAGTCAAAGTTTTGTTTTTGAAATTTGCCCATAACTTCGGATAGAGAAGAGATCCTGTTCTGCAATGTTGAGGAGTTCTTTTAAAATAAAAATGTTCTACAATTAACTTTCAGAAAACTCGATGCAACGAAATACTGGAGATTATTAAAACAGTCGGATTCTATTTTCGATTCCAAAAACAAGTTTCTAATGATAACCCAGATATTTTGAACTTGATGGGAATTCAAACCCTTTGACTTTCTAGAAACTTCAGGAGAACGATTTGAACTTGGACTAGAACTTCTAAAAAGTTTTGTTTTAGATTACTTGAATATGCATCTTTGTAATGGCCTAGAATATTCAGAAAATCTCTTCCATTCCCACAAGAAAAGATTGAAACATGCAGATGAAGACGGGGCAAGACCTCCAATTGATTTGACGTCTTCACCGAAGACGTTCAAGTGGAATGAAATGTTTCCGTAAGTGTGTTGATAATGATTCTTCAGAATAATTCTTAATTTCAGATATGGTTTTATTTGTGGGCACTCAAGACAAGTTTACAAATTGGAAACAAGAAGTGGAAGTAGGGAAGAAATAGTAATGATGATGTACAACCACATTTCTGAACTATTCCAAAAATGTCCAAGCTTGAGATTTGGTGCTCGTATTAGTGCACCGAATATGAGTTATTATATTCCGATTCCTTCTCTAAGCATTGCTACATTCAAAGATGTGTCAGCAAATGATCTCACCACTTTCATGAGCAATCATCTTGACCTGAAACTATTGGTTCTTGAGAAGGAACATCTTAGAGAAATTCCTGATATCATCAACTTCCGGAATTTGCGTGTCATGTGCTTCCAGGAGAGTTTTTTGCATTACATGTCCCACTTTAAAGGAGTCAATGCGTATTTTTGTGGTCCCACCGAAGAGTATTATATTCGTGAATTTATTTATAGATGGTTGAATGGGAAACTCTATGAAAATTTGAACTTAATTCATATTGAACAAGAAGATGGAGAACGATTTAGTCCAGATCTGTTGGAAAATTATAGACACAATCGATGGGATTTGAACAGAATGCCGCAGGAATATAAACTGGATGAGGGGTTGGTTTTCGATTTTTATATTGGGATTCTCATAAACTATGATATTTTCCCGATATTTCAGCAACATAAATAATCGGGTTTCTTTTTCAGAGACAAATACTATACACAATTTCCTGGACCTTTCAAAATGGAGAATGCCGTTTATGTACAAAGAGAATCCGATGGGAAAGTTCTATCACTTCAAAACACTCCGAGAATTTTTATTGGATGTGTTTGGAATCAGGAAGATGTATTTAGAGAATAATGCTAACGTTTTTCAAACTGCTAAAATTCGAAAAATGTTTCTGTGATTTCTTTCTATAAATGAAGAATAAAGTTTTTATGTTTCAAAATCTCTATATTTGGTAAAAACTATGACTCATTCCAGTCTTCAAATACACTGTGTACCTTATTCTTTTTAATGAGAGTTATGCGGGTCCCAAAATGAAAATATGCGAATGAAAGATTACGAAAACTACGTCACTTTTTTTAACTTTGCTGAATTAAGCAAAAAACTAAACTCGCTGTATTTTGAAATTATCTTTCCTGATAGAGAGCGGTAAAAAAGAAATCAAAAATTCGAAAAAAAAAAAATCTTCAGAACACTGTAGTCTAGGAAGATTGAATCAAACACTATAAGTGAAAAAAAACTACCAATACTTTTTCATGGAACCCTAGGAGGAGCCCACCCGAGTACAATGTAGACCAAATGGGCGTTACCCATCAGTTACAGCAATCCTTTTTCTTTAAAATCTGAAAAATGACAAAACCAAAACTACTCAGGGAATTTTGGGCAAGCAAACGGCAAGTTGCGAGCCATTTGGCAAGTTGCTGAGCAGAATCAGCAAGTTGCTGGACAAATTAGCAAGTTGCTAGTGCTTGCTGACCTTGTTCGAGGAGGGTCGTACATCAGCAAGTTGCCGCATGCATGAAACTTGCTTGCCGTTGCTTGCCGTGAAAAAAGCAAGTTGCCGTTCTCTTGCTGCGTTCAGATGGCATTCAAACGGCAACTTGCTCTATAAAATAGCAAGTTGCTGACCCGAAAAAACAGCTTGCCGTTTGTCAGCGGCAAGCAAAATTTTCGGGTTAGCAACTTGCCGATAAATTCCCTGAGCAGATTTCATAGGTGGACGCCCAGTTTACTCAGGGAATTTATTTCCGAAATTTCGCACATTTTCCGAAATTTCTTTCCGAAATTTCGCACAAATTTGTTGAAGACAAATTTCTTGCTCAAAAGCTTAATTTTGGTGAAATTGATGAATTTTCACGAACTTTAAGCGAAAATTCATAATTTTTTACTAAAAAGTTTCGGAAAAATGACCGGAAAAATGGACACCTGGATTTTTCTAGGTCATGACCTAATCATTTCTAGGTCATGACCTGATTTTTCTAAGTCATGACCTAATTTTGTAGGTCAGAACCTACCTTTTTCTAGGTTATGACCTTCACCCAGACCCAGGAATCAAGACCCAGAACCCAGAGCCTAGGACCCAGGTCACCCATATCCAGGTCACCCAGACCTAGGACCCAAAACCTAGAACACAGGACCTAGGACCCAGGATCCTCGGGCCACCTTCTCTGGATCCCAAAGAAGGTGAGAACTGATTCTTCCCTCCACTCCCTGCTTCTTTTATATTAATTTGAAGCTGTTTAATTGGAAACCAATCGAAGTTGGATTTGTTTTTGATTCGAGCAAACTTCAGATATATTTTCAGGTTTACGAGGTCGCAACTAATAGTGGTAACAGGAAAGAAATAGTAGTGAGGATGTACGAACACCTTTCGGAACTATTCCAAAAATGTCGAAACTTAAAATTTGGTGTTCGTTTTAATATCGGATATGGATTATTATGTTCCGATTCCTTCTCTAAAAATCGCTTCATTTAAAGATGTGTCAGCAAATGATCTCACCACTTTCATGAGCAATCATCTTGACCTTAAACTATTGGTTCTTGAGGAGAATCCATTTGGAGAAGTACCTGGTATCATCATCCGGAATTTGCGTGTCATTTGCTTCAAACAGAACTTCTTGGGCTACATTTCCCAATTTGAAGGAGTTAATGCGTATTTTTGTGGTCCCACCGGAGCGTATCATATTCGGAAATTTGTTCATGGATGGTTGAATGGAGCATACTCTGACAATTTGAACTTAATTCATATTGAACAAGAAGATGGAGAACGATTTAGACCAGGTCTTTTGGAAAATCATAGACAAAACCAATGGGATTTGAACAGAATGCCGCTGGAATACCAATTGGATGAGGCGTTGGTTTTCGATTGCTTTTTTGTTGGGATTTTCAAAGACTATAAGATTTTTCTAATGTGACAGCACAATAAACAATCTAATTCCTTTTTCCAGAGACAAATACTATACAGAATTCCCTGGACCTTTTAAAATGGAGAATGCCGTTTATGTACAAAGAGAATCCGATGGGAAAGTTCTATCACTTCAAAACACTTCGAGAATTTTTCTTGGATGTGTTTGGAATCAGGAAGATGTGTTCAGAGAATAATTCTAGCGTTTGTTTCTACTAAACCAACTACTATCGTATCAGATCTAAAACTTCTTTCCGATTGGTTTGATAAATGTAGGGGTGTTACTGGTCGCCGGTGCAAGTGGGCCGGCCCATTAATCTTCACGCGAAATTGCATCAAAATGCCGGTTTTTTTTAAAGCGGCGAGAATGCAATTTTAGATTTTACACTTGCATTATTTGCCGCTTTAAATTTTTTCTTACGTCAATAATTTGCATTTTCCGAATTTTCCGAATTTTTCAATATGATTTGATTTCACGAAGTATTGTAAAACAAGACATATTTAGATTGTTTTGCGTCCTATTTTTTCTAATTCTGGAAATTATAGACAAAATGGAATTCTATATGTTGATTTTTCATGAGATGTCTGGCATTTTCAGCTTAAACTTGACCAGATTTGGTTGGTTTTGCTTTTTTGGGAAGTTTTTGGATTTTTTACCAAAAATTGAAAAGAATTAATTTTCTTCAAAAATTGTCAAACTCGGGTTCAAAATTTCAAAAATTTCATGGAACTTGATAGGATCTGATAGATGAAACCTATTACGAACTTTAAAGAAGGACTCAATATAATTATTTTTACAACAAAATGTGTAGAAAAATGTGTAGATTCACATGGAATCAAAGTAAACCCTCAGGAAAATTGACAAAAACTTGAAAAAATATCTTCAAATTGCAAAAAATCTCCTTCTCGTCTATTTCTGGAAACTTCTGCGAGTTTCTTGAATCTTTTTTCTCTCGAATTCTTACAAAAACTGAAAACTCTCCGTTTTTCATTTACGACACTAATTTTAGATTCCTTGATGGTTTAGAGTTTTCAGTTTTGGCGGTAATTTAAAAACAGTTCCCGAAAATTTCCGAAGTTTCTAAGAATTGACGAGAACTGAGATTTTTCCGCTTTTTGAGGCGATTTTTCGAGGTTTTGCAATTTTCTGTTCGTTGCTATATGAATATACATATCTTCCTACACATTTTGATGTATCAAAAAACATGAAATGTAATTGGTCGGTGTCCCCCTTTAAGCATTTATTTGAATTTTTCTCCCTATTTTAATTTTCGCTGGTTCAAAGCTAACGTACTTTTTTGATCAAATTGCTTCATTCAAAGGAAAGCGGCGTTTCACGCCGCTCTAAAAAAACACTGGCGAAAAATGCAAGTCAAAAATTTGCAATTTGCAAAAATGCAAAAAATTAATTGTGTTGCAAATGCATGAAATTATTTTTGCATCGGCGCCGAAAAACGCCGGTTTGGTAACCCTAGATAAATGACAAACGTCAATGGCATCACAACTCTGATTATTTAAATTCCAATCTTTCGTATTGTAACTTCGAAACAAAAAAAATGTTTATATTTGAACCATTCATGTACTAACATCCATATTCGTGTTTGAAAAATCAGAGGCTTTGGCCCGTCTTCAATTAACTAATCTAATCTTTAGAAATAATTTTTGTAAAATTTCCTATCTGTTTTCCTTGAGAACAAATTCTGAATTTCTTGCACTTTTATGTGTACCCGTTTCCTGTTTGAGATATCAAGACATTTTTAACTGATAAACTTTTCAAGACAAACATTTTTGTTTTCAAACTTTCTGAATGTTTTTCTGTGAAAATATAATTTCTGTGAAAGATATTCAGAAATTTTTAATACGAAAATGTTTGTCTTGAAAAGTTTTATTAGTTAAAAAATGTTTGATATCTCAAACAGGAAACGAGATAATTAAGTTCGAAGGAACTATCTTTTCATGCATCCTTGCAAGGAGTTTCACAGATTTCAAAGTTTAAAATTCAAGTGTTATTCGAACGTGATGAGAATGCTGAAAAAGTCTAAAAATTTCCGATTTTTAGGTTTCAAAGCAGCTGAGCCAGAGAAAATCGGTTTCAAAGTTGGATTTTTAAAGAAGTATTTTGACTATATTTCGAAGAAGTTACATTAAAGTGTTCTTTTTAAAAATTGACACATTGACAGTTAAAAATAATTTTAAAAGCTTTATTGAGAAATCGTACACTATGTTAAACTTGATTTTGACTGAGAGTGGCATTTCCGAATGGTCCTCCAGTTTTTCCAATAGATTCCAAGTATTCGTTAAGATTGAAGATTTTGAATCTGAGCGAATGGAATGGAGCACCTTCGTCAATTTCGAATTCATGAATCTTTTCGATTAAAGGAGTTCCAAAAGTGACACGTCTTTCTGGAAGAGTCCCTGGAACAGGTTTCACTAGTTGTTCTATTACGATTGTCTGAAAAGAAACCGATTTTTAAAAGAATAAATTTCTTATTTTTCAAACCTTATGACGCCTTTTAAATGCATCCACCTCATTATGATAATCCACGTTGAGAGTGATAAATGGGTTATCAGCTAAATTGAAAATAAATCGAGTTGATGAATTCATAGGGGGAATAGAGGGAATAGAAATTGTATGTTCCAACTCTGCGAAGTCTTTGACCATCGGAGTACGGTACTTATTATTGCTCATGTTTAGATTCTTTTGAAGTGCAGTTGTATAGGCGTCTTCAAGTTCAATAGTCGGGGAGGAATTCCAGATGTGCTCGAGTTGACTGAAAACAGAATTTGATTTTTTTTATTTGAGGAATTCAAAAGTCTTAAATTACCCAATCAATTGTTTCAATGGCATATCAGTCTTAATTGTCATTCGAAGAGCAGAACGATGCTTCGTTGGAGGCGTTCCTTCCAGCAATGCTTTTCCAATGATCATCTGAATATCCGATTCAATAAGACGACGACAGAAGATGTGAAGAAGAGCTGGACGATTATCGAAATCAGTGATTATCTGATTGATAAGGTCCATTTCCGAGATTCTCGTTGTATTCTTTTTCTTCTTTGAAATCTCAAACACATCCCATAATGCCACGTTTCTCAAAGAGCTTTCCGACGCATTCTGAATTCGTTTCAGAAGATTGACGGTGTCATCCTTCGAAGAATCATCTAGAATCACGTGATGATCCGTATTCATTGGACTCAAACACAGATTCATTGGAGATCCAACAGCTCGGGCGGTCTCAATCTTCTCATCTTCAACGTCATCTGGTTTTAGCTCCGAATCAGTGTCCGATGGAAGAAGCCGGAAAAATTTCGTTGTGATCAACTCATCCAATTCCAGTTCGGATAGTTCTGAGCCTTCATTTGAGAAACTTTCCATTGTTCTTTTTCTTTTTTCAGAAGTTACTTTTGATGACGTTTTGGAATTGAAACTGGCGAGTTTCGTGATCCATGTGGCTATTTGTGCCGCGCAAATGATCTGGGTTACAATTTGAATTTTCTTTTTTTCCACGCGAGTTTCAGGTAAATTCAAATTTTCATCACTAGAGTTTTGAAGGAAGAAAGAAATATACACAAGAAAGAAAAAACCACAAAATTGGAATGTCGATTGTTTTGGGGACTCTTATTCTACAGGGAAAACATTCGGGGGAAAAGTGAAAAGGGTGTTTCTCTAGTCGGAATTTGTTGATATAGAGAAAAGTTGTGCATTATGGATTATCGCAAGAGAATCTTGGGAGTCACTAATTATGGATGAAGCGATGGAAAAAACACGAAAAGAGAATGGACGGTGTTTAGAAAAAGAAACAAGTATTATCAAAAAAATTAGAAAATTTGCGTCGTATTATACTTATTCTGCCAGAAGACAGCGATCAGTGTCACAGCGTAGAGTCCGGCGGCGATCCAACATTGGGTGGCTTTCTCGTTGTATTTGGCTTCGATCACACTGAAAAATCAAATTTTTTTTTGGTTTTTTTTTCACGAAAAATTCGGACTAAAGCGGCGCCGGTTTTGGTGGAGACGCACAAAACGCAACACTACGCACTACTTCTTTGGCAGTTGAAAATTTCATATAATTTTGGGATTTTGCCAAAATTGTAGTCTTTTTAAGGTTTTTTGAAAACTTCTTTCACAAAATTATAATAACTTTGAACCGGAGCGTGCATCAGTTTCTGTTGAATATCGACGCACAAAACGCACCACTACGCACTACTTTTTTTGCAGTTGAAAATTTCCGAATATTCTGGATTTCTGGTTGAATATTTTGCATTCTATAATTTCTACACGAGTTTAAACATTAAAAAATAAAAACCTCGATGGAACTTTTCCCTCTCCCTCGAAATGAAGATCTGGGAACAAGGTCACGGCTTGAATGTAGAAGAACACACCGAGAAGTCCGAGGAAGATCACTCCCCACACCGACATGACCATGCTCAAAAATTATAATGTTTAAAACTTTTTTTTTGTTGAAATTACCAGAAGGCCGACATTTTTGGTCCCATCAGCGGACAGATCTTGCCCATTTTGCCTGGAAAATTTGGAAAATTGAGAGTTAGTTTGAAAGTTAGAGTGAGAAAAAGAGTGATAAGAAAAGCGGGTAATCAATAAAATTTTTAAACAGCTTTTAGCGATAAGAAAAAGGAGAATTTTGAGTTTCACAACACTGAAAATCGATGCCGAAAGACTGAAGCGTACGTCGGTTTTTGGTCGCGACGCACAAAACGCAACGCGACGCACCACTTTTTTGGCTCGTTGAAAATTTCTCAATTTTAAAGATTTCTGGCGAAAAATACAAATTTGCAATCTGTTTATAATATTTTTATCTAGAAAAGTGTTGAGTAATACAAGGGAAGTGTCGTAAAAGCGATGGTGCCGTGAGACGAGAGAACAAGAATCGATTTTCGGCCGCCGCGCTGTGTCTCTCTCTCACTATTGATCTCCGGTCTCATCACTTTTTTCGCCTGGTTTTCCCTTGTTTTTTGCTCATTTTTTCGATAAAAAGTCAAATTTCATCCTTTTTAATACTGCTTTCTCACCTAATCTCACTAGTTTCGCCCGATTTTTCCCGAAAATCAGCTCCATTATTTTCTTCGACTGTGTCGTGGCTTAAATTATTGAAAATAAATGAAAATTTTTGGCGCACCTACTTTTTTTTCGCTCTCGTTCTCATCAATCTAAATTTTTTTAAGTTTCAGATGGGTATCCTCATTCCACTCGTCTCTGTCTCCGCCTTCTGGGCCATCATCGGATTCGGAGGACCATGGATTGTGCCAAAGGGACCTAACAGAGGTGGGAATTCCATTTTTTAGCTCAAAAAAAAATCAAAATCCTTCCAGGAATCATCCAATTGATGATCGTAATGACCGCTGTTTGCTGTTGGATGTTCTGGATTATGGTGAGTGATTTTTCCGGAGTTCAGGCTTTTTTTCAAATAAAATACATCAAAAATCAAAAATATCGTTTTTCAGGTCTTCCTCCACCAATTGAACCCACTTATTGGTCCACAAATCAATGTGAAAACGATTCGCTGGATTTCCGAAAAATGGGGAGACTCGAAGAACCTTGTCAACGCCTAAAACATGAATTCCCGCTTTCAAAACTTTTGGTTTTATCTGAAAATCTTACTATTCTTCTTGTGATATTCTCATTTTCTCTTCTCTTCTTTTCATAAATTTCACGAAAATCGTGAAGTTGTTTTATTAGTCGCCAGCAGACATTCCCTTTTGCCCCCCTGTCTTCTCTTCTCCCGTTTTAATTTTGAATATGTACAGAACAACACCATCTAGTAGCAAAAACAGAAATTGTTTATCGATAAAAGTTAACATTTAAACGCGATATTGAGTGTCGATTGGACACTGTTTCTCACAGCGAGAGAACTGGGGAAGCGAATATTGACGGAAGGATTCACATCCGTAATATTTGAGCTCATCGGGACATCCTTGGAGGATTGATGCTTTTGAGAAGCAATCCATTCCAGTTTGGACGTAGTTGCAACCCTGAAAGTTAGATTTGCGATGGAAGATTTCTAGAATCCCAGGGATGCCCAGAATGGCATTTTTGGAAAATTCGGAATTTTTAACAGTCAAATTAGAAAGAAAAATCCCACTTCCCAGTCACAGAATTGCGAAAAATTGACCAAAATATTCAAAGAAAAATTTTTTATTCCACTCGAAACCCACAAGACAATTATTTTGCTTGCGCCTTTGAAATACCGTAGTCCAAAATTCGTTAATTCCGAAAGAAGAGCTTCGGAAAAACGGCATTTTTGAGGCCTTGAAAAAACTTCAAATTTTTGAAAATTTCTAAAAAAATTTTTAAAAATTTCCCGAAAAGTGGGCG